AGCTACGTAATTTTTCGCTTAAGTAATGCACTCAGGATACATTTGAAGATCATAATAAGCTGGAACAAAAAACTGTCAACGTTCATAGCTAGTCTTCAAAGTTATACTACTATTAGAACAGTGCGCTCATGACATTGGAGTTTTTGACATGACCACCATCTTCGAAGCGTTCACATGTTTGCCACACGGACGGTTGGAGAACGGAAATCTTTAAACAAGTCTTCTGCACTTTGACGTCCGTCCAGTTTGCTAGCATTTACCAACCTTGACCCGGGTTGGGCACTTGCAAGTCCACCTGACAAAAGGTATTAAGAGTCTAAACGAAACTTAGGATCCTTTTGTCCGCTCTGCAAATGAATGAAGGACTTTCTTCTGCACCCTTACCAATAGTTAAAAGAGGCCGAGTAGAAATCATTCCGACACGCAAAGCATACCATACTCATTTGTACTTCACTTCAAAAAATTATTTGTACAAAAATATAAAAATTAAATTAAGATTTACTGTTATGAGTACCGACCAGGCCTTCTCTTCTTAATGCTGCATCGCGAATTTGCAACTCCAATTTCCCCTGTCTCGTGAAAGAGCCTATCCTTTCCTCCAGAAACAAAACTACTGTTTGGGATACCATTTATCGTCGCTGAGTCCTCCTTGGTGGTGATCGCACACGCTGCGGCCAAAGCAGCTGGACCACTAAGTAAACTTAAATCTTCTGTTGGTCTAGACAATGTCAGAGGTCTGTGTGTTTTTCGGTGCTTGCTGAGATGATCACTACGCATAAATCGCTTCCCACACATTAGGCATTGGAATTTCTTCTCGCCCGTATGAGTTCGAATGTGGCGCTGGAGTTCATCAGACCGAGTGAAAGCTCTTTCGCAGGACTGGAAATGACACTTATATGGTCGAGTATTACTGTGATTTCGCAGGTGGGCTGAGAGATGACTGGTCTTGCCGTATAGTTTGGTGCAACGCCAACAGAAGTGCAATTTCTGAGGCATAGTCTGAACCAACTTGCCAAACGCTGCCACTAGGCATAGGGGACACATGCATTTGTGACACTTGTGACTTGCGTCAGGAACTGTCGCCGCCAGCCCATTAGCTGTATCACATACTGACTGAGGAAGAAGTAGTTTCGGTAGTTTTTGGAGAAATTCATATTGTGATTTCAACGGAGGCGACTGAATTGGTTCCTTTAAAATTTCCTTTGCCCTCTGCTTATTGGGTAACATCCAAGAGGCCAATTTTCGTAATGGGGCTGACGGCGAAGATGACGGATGCGTAGGCAAAGGCAGTGGCATGGATGGTGGCAGCACCCCATTGAGCCAAATCTGCGAGGTGAGCAGGGGTGGCAGTGAGGCTGTGAGTGGAGGAGAAGGCGCAGTCGTTTTGTTGAGTAGAGCGTCGGTGCGTGACTTAAGTGCCTTATACTCACAACTACTCCAGAAATCGGTAGTTGATGGGATGCTTGTGCTTGTGGCGTTGGTAATGCTGGACAGAAATAAATTGGGTCCCTCCTCATGACTGGCTGAAATGGGTAGATACATCGCTCCTGGACCTTTTTTAAGCCATTGGATGATTTTTTCCATATCTGTAAGCAAGGAAATTTTCATGATCAAAGGTAAATGCACCTAGAATGCCCAGTGAGTTACATCGTATGACGTAGTTTTCATTCGCTTTTTTCCTCTACTGCTATCAAAGGGATAAATACCCGTTCTTGACAGTATTTAAGTAATGTGTTGTCTCGCTAGCAAGGATATTTTCTAAAACAATCTCATTGCCATGTGATAACATATATATTTCATGTGGTGCAAATGATCTTCGTCACTGGAAGTACTAAATTTTAATGATATCGTGAACGTCGTGGAATATATATGATTGCATTGTTAGTTCTGGAAAATTAATCCTGTTGACAACAAATTACTTTTTCAGGTTTCTTGTCAATTGTAGGGTTTTTAGCATCAATGAATAGGTGACTTTTAATGGCTAATCAATCTAAAGCGCTAGACTACTTTTAACGAGCTTCCAAAAAAATAATTTTTCTTAAGAATAGAGTTATCCCGACAGTGATGATGGCGATAGAGGGTAATTTGAATATAAAGGTGGCGGCGCGTATTGCTCAGGGGACTGCAACCTGTCAAATGGAGGAATTGATCACAATGCGAGATCTGCCACCACATCTGCATTCTTGAGAAAGTGAGAGAGAAAGGTAGCTAGTTGGTTTGCAAGTGAGTGATTGAGGGAGGGCGTGACAGAGTTTGGTGGTGCCTCCGATGCCGTGTGTGCAGGCTGGTGCAGTGCACATCTGCTCTCTTTGGCTCCGCCTACTCTCAGGCTTAATCCATCAACTCAGGAAGCTAATAGGTTCAACGATTTTTCCAGCGCGCGGAACACTCGAGTAAATTCGTTCCGGATTACATCAGATGGTGGGTCATTTATTTAGTCTCAAATGTGTGGAATCAAATGCTATTTAAATGAATCGCACACATCTCTAGAAGACGGTAAATCTCGGCTTCACATAAAGATGGTGAAACCATGGCTAGATATGAGGTATATCGCAAATTTCAACTAAACGGTGGAATGTTAATTATAAAAGCTGGCTCACTGCCTTTAGTATCATGCAGATGAATTATGAATCGAGCCTATGTGAATAAAAGATCCTTAAGGTTCAGTCATTATGAAATTACCTTCCTTTGGATTTAAAAACTCAGATGCCATGCGCATTAAAAGTACTGGACACAACCATAGAAAAGTTTAGTAAACGAAATTTGAAAAGATCATCGAGAAAACGAAACACTTACTCGTGTCACAGAAGATTTCATTAACCGTTGGTGTTACATAACGACTTTAGACTTAAGCTTATATTTATATGATAGTTTGACCAATGACAGATTCACCTGTGCAGGCCCTTTTGCGCCTCAGACGTGTAAGCCAATGGGGGAGTAGTGTGGGGCGCAACAATCACGACGCGAATGGCACGTCCGCACGCAGCCTGAACATGCGCCGAGGTGTGTAAACCGTGTCGGTCACTTTGCCCAGCCATTACTTTTGATATCGTAACAATGACTCCTAGCCTTAACTTCACGGACCGCAGACATCGGAGGCTACTCATGATCTTTTGATTTTGCTGAGAGGCCTCCAAGCAATTCATTATCAACTCATACATTAATTTTATCTCTCATTAATGAAGAATTGACATGAAATGCTCATAATTACACTTTAGTAATCACTTTTTGTGACTTACCTTATCATTTTACATTAACCTGTATCATAATGTATTATATTTTACGTAGACGTCGAAATAAGTGAGCAGATTGCTTAATATACTTACAGCTTTATGGTGTATGCAATAAAATAGCAGGTCACTACGGATACATATGTGTTAACGAAAGCATTCGAATCTGACTTCTTGGGTGTGCGATGTTTGGAGCATATGTGAGTAAAATTTGTCTGAACACGCTCATTTCCTGTTAGTCCATAAAAAGATTAATATTGGCTTGTCATGCGCACTGAGTTTAAATTGTGGTAAAACACAGGCCAATTAAGCTGCTCAAATGACCTAACTAGCTTATAAAACTGGCAAAACAGATCAGTGGGAGTTGACTTGAGTCTTCAAAGCGAACAAAGTTAGTTGCAATGACTGGCGTTCAAACTGTCACTGTGCTTAATTGCAATATAAATTAGAACAAATTATTTAGCTACTTTCAGTTCCTTTTCGGACCGAAGTCGACAAGCTTAACACTTGGTATTCTATTCAACTTTTGCCGTGGGCTACACAGGCCGTCAGCAAATGTGCACTTAAAGATTTGCTAATGACCTATAAAGGTCATTTTTAACTGAGTTAGAAAACTTTAAAAAGTTGCGGCATTTCCAATTTTCTACATTGAATGATTTGATGCGAAGGATGACCATCGTGAAAGTGAATACAAGACTCTACTTGGAGGGTAATGGTGACGATGTCGAGCAGTATGAAGAAACATTCTAATTTTGTGCCACCATTTAGGCTATCCCTCAGCACTTCTCGATATTCAGCTAAGCTGATAGATCTCCACTAGCAGATACTTTAAAACTACCAAAAAGTAGAAAACGAGAGACAGGTTTATGGTAAAGTGTTGCAACTTGCTAGAAAAAAACAGCACCCAAGTGCACAAGTGAAAACAATGGATTCTCTCTCGGAAACAATGTTGTCTACGATTAGAGGCGGTGCCCGCAGCTGGCATTTGCGAACCCTTCCTCGGTCAGGGTCACGGACACAGAACACTGAAATCAGGATAGCTTCCAAGCATTTTCTTTCTCAACCGAATCTTTGGCCAGTGCGTAGGCGAATGCAATTGCTCTAAAGACTTGAGCGAATCCCATCAAAAACTTTTAAGACCTCATTGCAAAGCTGGAAGAATTTAGCTAAACTACATTGTTAAATAGTGAAAATAAGATGGTCTACTTGAGTGTAAGGAAGTTGGCTCCCAACTTCTATCCTACTGACGGCTTAAAAATGGCTGGTACTTCATGTTTTCATGACTAGCTCCATTTATTCATGATAAAAGTTAGCCCTGCATTCATTCCCGACATTATTTCATGATAAGAGTTCTGCATTTTTGGGAAGCTGTAAAGTTTGTCGATGGTATCAGCAGACGATCACCTATTCATCGATGG